CTTAGTTTAATTAAAAAAAAAATCATCTTAGTTTTATTTTAAAAAATCATCTTAGTTTTATTTAAAAAAAAATTATCTTGGTTTTATTTTTAAAAAAATCATCTTAGTTTAATTAAAAAATTTAGATTCTACCTATTAAGTCTTAACTTTTTTTCTTTTTGTTTTTCTTTTGATCTTTATTATAGTTAGACATTGGTCTTGTGTCTAAACTGATGGAACCTTTATAAGAATCCTCTAACACCTAATGTTATGTATTTTTAAACAATTTGATACAGACTATTCATATCACTTTAGATACCATTACAGATTTACAAACTGCACTTGAACATGTCAATAATGAAATGAATAAACAACTAAAAAAGTTTAAAGATTTACATGATACAAGTTCCATTTTGCTGGAAGAAAATAAAATCTATCAAAAAAATATAGAGGATGAGAAATCAAGAACCTTTATGTACTCTGAGGTGCGATTAAATTGTCTTATTGTATAATATATTTTGTGTATTAAATTTTTTCAACCATTATTATTATTGTTTTAAATAAATTTCAGAAGTTTTTCCCAAAGAACTTAAAAGATTAAAATCTTATATTAAATTTCAATGTTTGAGGCAGCTGTTAAAAAAAATATATATTTATTAGGTGTAATCTCTATCTGAAAGGCTCATTTAAAAAAAAAAAATATACAAAAAAATTTTGTAGCATTTTTAACAATAGCATTTACATGCTCCCAATTTTATGCCTTGGAAAAATATTTGAAATATTGTCAATGGATGGTAATTTTTAAAAACTATAAAATATAAATTTCATATAAATTCTCTAAGTATTATAAACATTTGTTTTTTTTTTTTTGTTTTTTTTTTTTTTTTTTGTCTTAGTTATACAAGAATAATCTAGCTACTAAAGAAGAAGAAATTAAAAATTTGCGTTCTGAATTAAGCAGGATTAAAGATAAACATTCTTTTGATGTTTCAAATCTTGAAAAAAAAATGAAAGAAGATTTGGTTTTAGAAGAAGAGAAACACTTAAAAACTGTAGATAAATTGGTAAATGAACATGAACAGAAGCTAGTAAGTATTAAAAATAAACTTTCTCTTGAGTTAAAGCAAGAAAAACTAAATATTGTTGATCTTCATTGCGCACAGATAAATGAGAAAGAAAACACTATAACATTTCTTAAAACTAGTATAGAAAAGCACATTAATCATAATAGTTCTTTAAATTCACAAATTGCTGGTTACAAAGAATTTATTCACTGTTGTGTTGATACAGAAAAGAGACTTAGTGAGGAAATTTTAGAGTTAAAACATAAACTTTCTGCTGCTGAAAATCAAAATTTTAATTTGCAAAAGTGTGTTACAGATATCAAGGTAAATTATAGTTTTATAAGTTAATAATTAAATTATGTATAATTTGTTATTTATGAATTATATTTATAAATGAATATATTGTTTAATATAAATATTAGTACTTTGTATTTTTAACTCTTATCTGAAGAGTTAAACAAAGTTCATTTGTACATGTATCAGTACAATCAAATGTTTATATTGTTGTCATTTATTGTATGATTGAACATGCCCTATAAACAGGCTTGTATATCACTAATTTATTGACTTGAATATGCATATTTGAACTTTATAATTATTTAAGACTACTAGGAAATTCTTGGCACTAATGATAACAAATAAAGAAATTTCTACTATTATTTGTTTTAAATGTAAATTTTTTTTTATTTTTATGTAGCATAACTTATAAATGCATATTTAATACATATATAGTATATATATATATATATATATATATATATATATATATATATATATATATATATATATATATATATATATATATATATATATATATATATATATATATATATATATATACATTTCTGATGAGTCTTTATTGATGAAACACAGTGTTAAATGAGAAAAAATTCATTTATATATACATATATATATATATATATATATATATATATATATATATATATATATATATATATATATATATATATATATATATATATATATATACATATATATATATATATATATATATATATATATATATATATATATATATATATATATATATATATATATATATATATAAATTAGTAGAAAATCACACTAAGTGATTTTCTACTAATTTATTTATATATATATATATATTTATATATATATATATATATATATATATATATATATATATATATATATATATATATATATATATATATATATATATATATATATATATATATATATATATATATATATATATATAAATATATATATATATATACATTTCTGATGAGTCTTTATTGATGAAACACAGTGTTAAATGAGAAAAAATTCATTTATATATATATATATATATATAATATATATATATATATATATATATATATATATATACATTTCTGATGAGTCTTTATTGATGAAACACAGTGTTAAATGAGAAAAAATTCATTTATATATATATATATATATATATATATATATATATATATATATATATATATATATATATATATATATATATATATATATATATTAATTTAACTGGCAAGTATTTAATGCTGTATAGATTTTGGCAGTTACCTTAGACAACCTCGTATAATCTTTTTGAAATCATTTTTCATCTCTTCAATTTGGATGTGTTTAAAAAAGACATCCAGATGTACTGGCATTTAAACATCTAACTGTATAAATGTCTACACATCTAGGCGTATAGACATTATAAAGCAATCTTTATATTTTGATTGTAAATGTACTGATGCATATAAGTATACAGCTATTTGTTTAAAAAATGGATTGACATTAATACAGCTTGTTTGTGTAGAGATTATACATCTAGATGTATAGAAACTATACAGTTAGATGTATAGACATTTATACAGCTAGATATTTAAAAGGAGAACTAGCTATATTATTAGAAAGTAACCATGGCCCTGGCCCCAGCTAAGGCTAAAAAAAAAAACTTTTTGTAAACCCGGCTTTGGCAAAGTTATAAGATTTAGTGGGGTTTGATAGCTGGGGCAAAAAATTTTACTTTATATATTATAATGTTATACTTATATATATATTATAATTTTATACTTATATTTACTATTTAATAAATACTGGCATATATTTATATATTTTTGACTCGTATTTACTTCCAACAAACTTGCAAGCATCCATTATTAAGTTATGAAATACTATAAAATAGAGTATAGGATTAAAAAGCTAGGAAAACCAAAGACTTAAAAGGTTGTAGGTTGTATAAAAAAGGAAAACATGAAGATGGGTAAAAGTTATAAGGTTTTTTTTGATGTGCAAGAAAAAATTGAATTAATAAAAGTTTTTATAGCATGAAGGGACAGATACAGTAAAGGGATGCATCTTGTTATAGAAGCCAAGCAAGAATGAGTTTTGGTTAATCTAACTAGAGATGATAACTCGTTTGAACATTGACCATGATAGTATTTGTAGAAAAAAGAATGAAATACAACCTTACAACTATAGGAGAGAGGCTCAAGCTTAGCAGATAAAGTCTAGTTACATTTACAATGTGCTTTTAGACATAGTCTGATAGTAAGAAGGTTGATATTTGTCAATATAGGAATGCTAACAATATTGCAATATTTTTTTGCAGTAAATGAGTTTTGTTGTCTTACAATAATTGTGGATTTTAAGTTCAGACTTTAAATCCACAAGCCACCGCGAGCCTTAGTGTGTCAAAAAGTAAAGATTTTTTGTCAAGACTAGAGTATAAAGTTGAGTTGTCAGAAAATAGAGCCACTTCAGATGTGAAATTTTCATGAAGATCATTATTGTAGATAAAAAACAATACAGTAGCAAAGATAGAACCTTGTGTTACCCTTCAAGTTACTCAAAATGAAAAAGAGTGTAAGCCTTCAAGGTTAACTTTAATACTTCAGTTAGAAAGAAATGATTTAATAATCTCAAAAACTTTATATAAAGAAACTAATAACAGAGTGAAAACTAATTGTAGGATAGTTGGGAAAGTCAAAGTGTTTTCTAGAGTTAATATAAGACAGATTAGAAAAAAATTTTGTATCGAACAACGTTTGTTAGAGAAGATTAAAGTGATTTAGGTAACAGCATGTAAAGAGGTTGCAGCTTCAGGATTAAATGGTAAAGGTAAGAAGAAAACTTGAAGAGAGTGTCTTATATATTGTATGAATGAGTTTTAGTTAACAAAAGAAAATGACTCTAGATTGTTTATATTAGAGAAACAGCATTAAAGAATAAAGCTAAAGCCTGATGATGATGATGATGATGATGATGATGATGATGATGATGATGATGATGATGATGATGATGATGATGATGATGATGATGATGATGATGATGATGATGATGATGATGATGATGATGATGATGATGATGATGATGATGATGATGATGATGATGATGATGATGATGATGATGATGATGATGATGATGATGATGATGATGATGATGATGATGATGATGATGATGATGATGATGATGATGATGATGATGATGATGATGATGATGATGATGATGATGATGATGATGATGATGATGATGATGATGATGATGATGATGATGATGATGATGATGATGATGATGATGATGATGATGATGATGATGATGATGATGATGATGATGATGATGATGATGATGATGATGATGATGATGATGATGATGATGATGATGATGATGATGATGATGATGATGATGATGATGATGATGATGATGATGATGATGATGATGATGATGATGATGATGATGATGATGATGATGATGATGATGATGATGATGATGATGATGATGATGATGATGATGATGATGATGATGATGATGATGATGATGATGATGATGATGATGATGATGATGATGATGATGATGATGATGATGATGATGATGATGATGATGATGATGATGATGATGATGATGATGATGATGATGATGATAGCCTAGGCTATATTTTATCAAACCCATCCCTGGTCAAATTTCAACTCAGGTCTCTTGCTATATATTATTATTTGTCTATAATTAAAAATAATTCTAATTTTGTTCTAAATTTATTAATTTTATTTAAAAATAATCTGATATTTAAGTAGTTAAACATAACAAAAATTCTTAATAAACCAAAAAAAGAAACAGAAAACAATTCTAATATGCATCATAAAACTATTTTAAGCTAAAACACTCTATTGTGTGTTACACAACGTTTTTAGCTTGAAAATTTTTTCTTTGCTTTGTGCATTTTCAGTTGTCTTTTTTACATAGTTTTTATTACCCTGTTCTACATTTTATCATTTATTATTCTCTATTTCTTGTTTATTGTTTTATATTACCTGACATTACTATTCATTTAAACTTATATTTTTTTGTTAATTGTTCTGTATTACTATTTTTTTTCAATTTTGTTATTTATGTTTATTATTCGTTGTTCTTAAGTATTATTTATGAAAAGTATTATTTCCATAAATAATACTTATGAAAACTATTATTTATGAAAAGTATTATTTATTAAAAATAGTACTTATGAAAACTGTTGTTTATGAAAAAAATTATTTATGAAAAATATTATTCATGAAAAATATTATTTATGAAAAGTGTTATTTATAGAAGTATTATTTATGAAAAGAATCATTATTTATGAGTAGCATTATTTGAGAAGCCCATCCAAAAAAACGCGCTAAGTCACGTAAAAAAAAATTTTTGAGTTAATTCCATTTCTATATTCTTTATACTGAAATCTATCATCTATTTAAATATTAGTTCTATTAAAAAACTCTTTGTCCTAAAAACAGGTAAGGGAAATATCAAAATGTTTTCAAAACACGTTAAGTCAAACTGGGTTAAAGCTTCAAAAACTGGGTCAAAGCTTCAAAATATACTAAGTCAGAAGCCAATCAGATGAGCGATAAGTGACGTCATGTTTTTTTAACAACTAATGAAAAGTCTGTTTATATTTACTATCAGCACATTTTTTCTTGATGCATCAAATTATTTAAAATTTATCACCTAATACAAAATGGCTGAAGTTAGAGAAAGTTTTATAGCTACTGGAGAAAAAGCAAACAACGGTGGAGGTGTACTTGATTCATGTATGATTAAAACGATGATTTATTTAAGTCGTTGTTTAATTGATTTAACAGTATATTTCTCTTTTATAGAAAAAGACCCATAAGATGAGGAAGATACTATATGCAATTGTCTTGGAGAAGATGCTAGTTGTAACCATGTTTAACTTATTCATTGTACAGCAATTTTTTTGGTCAAAATTTTTAATTAAAAAACTACAATTTTTACCATATTGTTTTGTTTGTTCACATTATTTTATACTATTACTTTTTTCAATAATGCATGCAAATCAAAGTTTTTTCTTTCAAAACATTTTAATGCTTTTTTAAAACAAAAAAATCATGTATTTATATATACATATATAGTTTTCTAACATTATCAAAATAGGTCCATCTAGCATTATCAAAATAAGTCAATAATTTAATCAGGTTTGTTTCATGATCCTATTAAGTTGCATTTTTTCCTATGCGCATAATTTATTTGTATCACTACATTGAAGTAACTTTATGTGAAAAAATATGTGTGGTTATCTTTTTCTTTAATATCTCAAAATCAATTTGCTCGGACTTAGCGCGTTTTGCAAATGGGCTCCTCATTTACAAGATTTTAAAAAGCATATAAATATTTATACTAATAGTAATAATAAGTAATAATAACAATTTGGTCAACATTGTTTATAGAGTGTTGAGCAAAAGCAGGCAATTCTATGGCAGGAAGAAAAAAGCAATTTTCAAAGTTCTTGTGAAAACTTAAATAATGAGAAATTGTTGATTGAAACAGAATGGCAAAAAAAAATAGTGTTGGTATTATTGTTTTTTGTTTTGTTTTATTTTGTTTTTGTTATTATTATAATTGTTATTGTGAATGATCGATTTGTCCATTCAGTATAATGCTTTTGTTTTTAGGTGGATAGCAAGTCTTTTTTTTTTTTTTTTTCTTGAGGCTTTAGCAAATTTTTGTTGAAAAATCTATGCTTTTTTTTATTTGAAACAAAATTGAATGTTTTGTTTTTTTTTGTTTGCAATAATCAAGTTTAAAATAATGAAGTTTTGTTTTTTTAAAGATTAAAATATAATTTTTTTATTAATTTGTATAGTAATGAAGTTTTAAAATGGAAGTTGAAATTAAAGTCTCTTGAAGAAAAAAAGGATCAAGAACTGTTAAAAGCAAAACAAGATCTACAACTGTTTACTGAAAATAAAGAACAAGAAATATTTATACTTAAAGAGCAGGTCTTTTTTTTTTTTTTAATTATTAATTAATTTAACTAGTCAACAAAAGTTCTGATTTTGTTTAATAAAATTCAACATTTTATAATACAAAAGTTTTCAAAAATGTTAATGACTATTGCTACTTATGTCATTGAAAAATGGTTTCCTTTTAGTTTTAATCTTTTTAGTTACCAGTTGAACTTCAGTTATACTAGGTATAGTAGTTATGACTGGTGCATCATGGGCATTTAATTCAGTTTTGGTCAATTAGTTGTATTTTTTAAGTATTCTAATAAGCTAATCAAAAATGTACAAGATGTTCTTTTTAAATTGATGATAAAATCATTTTTTGTTGAAAAAATATTGTTAAGACAAGTTTGTAGATCAAGATAAACAAATAACTTTTTCAAAAGAATCTAAAAATTAAATTAACAGAAGAATCACATATTTATATTTAATCGACTCAAGACTAAGTCTTTTATAACTCAAGACCAAGTCTTTTACAAGACTCAAGACCAAGTCTAAGGCCCTTTGCATTTAGTTACATTAAAGAATTTTAGTATAATAAATAAAGCAGTATGATTTTAGTTGAATCAAAGAAATGTACAAAATTATTTAGTGACCAGGATGATGAGAAAATTGTTTTATGATCTACTAGTTCTACTTCTTTCATACTGTAACTCTTGTTGCATCTTCAAATACCGATAGTTTTAAGCTAGCCAAAATTTAAATAATCAAGACACTACCCATATAAGCGGTATATATGAATCCTATATGAAACTCATCTGGATGTAGATATGTTTCCCAAGTGTATATATATATATATATATATGTATATATATATATATATATATATATATATATATATATATATATATATATATATATATATATATATATATATATGTTTACATATATATATATACACTTTTCATATATGTATATATGAAAAGTGTATATATATATATATGTAAACATATATATATATATATATATATATATATATATATATATATATATATATATATATATATATATATATATATATATATATTTTTCATATATGAGTCCCATTCGGGACTCATATATGTATCTACCAGTATACATATATGAGTCCTAAATGGGACTCATATGTATTCTGGTAAATAATCTTGTGTAAATCCTAATATTTTCACATAAAAAATGTTTACAAAAATCATAATGGTAAATTAAAAAAAGATACATTAAGATCTTGCAGGCCACAAATATTAAATGCATATTTTATTATTAATAGATTATGGAGTTGTAGTCTTAAATTACATCAGTATACTATAAATAGACAAGTAAATATATAAAATTATAAAAGTATTTTATGAAATAATATAAAAAATTGAAAAATAAATCAAAAATTGAAAATAGTTCACAAGCATACTTAACAAAAAAAAAAAAAAAAAACTTTAAGATATAGAAAATACTGTTATAATACTTTTTTTTATTGTTTACATTTTTTTAAACTTGTATAAATAAAATTTACATTTTGGTTGGATAATTGTTTATTTAGATAATATTTCTCGTAATTTTAAAAGTAACTTTTTGTCTAAAAAAAAAAGGGTTTTTTTTTCGTTGCTTATTGGAATAATAGTTATTATTTTTATTTTATTTTTGTTATGTAGTATATTTGTTGGTGTAGCATTTTTCTTTTCCATTTGTTGGTGTACGCATTTTCTTTTCCAATTGTTGGTGTACCCTTTTTCTTTTCCATTTGTTGGTGTACCCTTTTTCTGTACTATTTTTATTTTATCTAATTTTAAATGTTTCATATTTTTATTTTTTATTTGTTGTCTTATTTAAAATCAAGTATTTTCCAATGGTTTTTAAATAATTAGTAAATAAATTTAAATAAATAAAAATGTAAGTTTAATTAGACATATAAATGAATCTAGACAATTGTATTTTTAACATATTTTTTAGATAACTCAGCTTAATTCGGTTATAAATAGACAACAAAATCAATTATCATTAACCTTACTTGAACAGCAAAAGACAATTGAATTGTTAAACAAAAATTTTGAAGAAGAAAAGGTTCTTTTTGAAAATAATTACAGGCTAACAATAACTGCAATGGTTTCAGGACATTCCAAAGAAATTGAAGACATAAAATTATATTTGATTAAAGACAAAGAGGTAACATTAAAAAAATGCTACACAGTGTAGAGCTGTCTAAACTTTATCCCTATGTATATGTGTGCGCGTATATATATTTAAACAGTTTTAAAATGTGTTCTACAAAATAGAATGCTCAATGTTCTTAAAAGAACAGAGCAATTATGAATTATTAGAAAATCACTTAACAAAAAATTTTTTCATTAAACACTGTGTTTCATCAATAAAGGCACATCAAAAATGAATGATCAAATTAATAAAACTTCAATTTATACCAAAAATTAAGTTACAAGAAGTCGCAAATGTCTTAATTACTGTAAATTTTCACACATTTGTGGAATTTGCTGACACTTATAAAAAGAATTCTTTAGAAATGATTACTTATGCTTTTTTAAAAAAAGTATTTTTTAAAAGGGGGATTCAATGTAACTATTATTTGGGCTCATTTATTTTTACAGTTTTTTAGGAGAAACTTATTTTCGTGCCTGCATTAAGAAATTAATCCTGATTTTTTGTTTAATACTGATTTTTTGTTTAAACATTCTTGATTTTCATGTGTAATTATTTCAAATTTTTCTTGTAGGCATAGTATGCATTTTTTGGAAATGTTATATGCAGGCGCTGTTTTAAGGATGGATCAATTCAGTATAAAGTCATCAATATTTTTATCTTTTTATTCCCATACATATTTTGACAGCATGGTGTCTTTTGAATACTTTTTATTTTTAAATAAAAAATAAAAAGTATTCAAAAAAAGCTTATGATTGGCAAAACATTTTTTCCATGCACCCTCTGTTATGCCAACATATTGCTTATCAGTTATATTCTTAGAGGAAACAAGACATTTATATACCACATTTTTTGATAAGCAACTTACACTCATTTACAATTACAATTCTCTGTAGTTTTTTCATTTTGGATTTTTTTTTGTTTTTTGTTTGTGACCTTTTATAATTCTTTCCATATTTTTTGTGCAGCTGTAGCTAACTTTAATTGTATTTTGATTAAAAATTTTATGTAATTTATAAATCATTTATATTGATTATTTTACTTAATAAATCTAAAATGTATACTCCAACAAATTCACAAATTTCTGCTCCATCATAACTGCCCATTGTTACATCAAAGCAGTCATGTATGTTATTCTTTTTCCAAGTTTCATTATTTAAATTAAGTAAGGTTTTTCTACAATGTTTTATTATATGGATTGTTTCTTCAGGAATAACTGTGTGGCTTTTTGCAAATTCAATTGTTTTATTTAAAATATCTGCAGTTATTGAGGCTTTATTAGGCTTTTATCGCGGTTTAATAGTAATGCGTAAAAAATCTGGTCCACAGCTTGATAAAATTAGAAAAGATATAAAAATTTTTAAAAATATTGGCTTTAAAATCGAAATAAACATAAATTTAAAAGTTGTGAACTTTCTTAATTAATCATATCAGCCTTTCAAAAAACCAAACGATGAATTATTGTATATTAATATTAACTCAAATATCCACCCCAAATTCTAAAACAGATCCCGATTTCAATTAATGGCAGGCTAAACCAAAACTTCTCTGATGAAAATGTATTCAATTTCTCTAAACAAATATTTGAAGATGCCCTTAAAAAAAGTGGTTTTGAAAATTTTGTATTAAAATTTGACCCTGAAAAAAAGAATACAAAAAAGGGAAATAATAGAACTACAAATGTAATTTGGTTCAACCCCCCCCCCCCCTTTTCCATTAAACAGGATGGTCATGGAAATCGTGGAAATGTCATGGAATTTTATTTGGTCATTAAAAAAATCATGGAACTCCTAAATTTTCAATGAAAGTCATGGAAAATTCATGGAACTTTTGAAATTAATCTTTATTTTTTTTTTACTTGTGATATTTTTAGGATGCAAAAAAAAGTACTAGTATGTCTAGTCTAAGTCCTTTTTGAAAAAGATATTTTTGCAGTTTAAGTTATAGATTATCAGAGAAGTAAAAGAAAAAGTGTTTTTTTCAGACATGATTTCAGAACTTTCTACCAATTAGTTTTTGGCTCGCATGTTTTATAATGACCAAGTTGCAAATGCTTAGTGCATGGCAAGTACTGAGTAATTTACTGATTTGTGGTTTATCAGAAAAGTTTATGAAGAGTCATGGAAAAGTCATGGAATTTCATTGACAAATATGAGTGGCCACCCTATTAAAGTGTGCTTAAAAGGGCTATTCTACACATAAGTTGAACTTTTCAACAAAATACTAGTTTAATGCTATTGACAGTTCGGAAGATTTTTAAAAACTATTGATTGCTTTAATTCATAGTTTACAAAATAGTTTATATATATATATATATATATATATATATATATATATATATATATATATATATATATATATATATATATATATATATATGTGTATATATATATATATATATATATATATATATTTATTAATTATATGTAATTGTTAGTGATTAAGCAATTACAAAAATAATTTACATTATTCTGATTATTGTAGAGTGCAATATTAGCCTTAAATCAAAAGTATGAGAAAAAAATACTTGATATTCAAAAAGAAAATCAGCTTTATACTGATGCCCTTAAAAGTAACCTTGAATACCAAAATAAAAAAGCTGTTGTTGAATTAATGAAAAGCTTTGATGAGGAAAAAGGTTTTTTCTATTTTTCTTTTGTTTTAATTATCGTAGTTTTGTTGTAATATTTTGCTGTTATTGTTCATGAATATATAAACAATATTTGTGCAATACATGCATGCTTATGTTTACACATAAGCATGCATGTATTGTACAAATTTTATATATTAACTTTTTGCATGTTTTTGTACAAAAGATTTTTTTTTAAAGCATTACTGCAATCAAGTCTACATCTGCAGTATGAAGAGAAAATAAAAAAACATTCAGAAGAATTTAATGACAAATTTATAGCATGTAAAAAAAAACTTATTTACAGTGAAGAAGTAAGAGATAAAGAGGTAACTTTAGTAATTTGTTGTCAAAGCACTTGGTCTCTAGAGTTTTGAAATGCTTGATGTACTTTATTTATACTAAATAAAGATTTATTATGTCCAATTGCATATATTTTATATTTTATATTTGATAGTTGTTTAAAACAAACATAAAATATTTTGAGTGATATGTAAATTTATTTGCAATTTGTTTTAAAGACAACTATGCATTCTTTTAAAACAGTTAATTCATAACTTGTTTTTGACGTTTTAATGTTAAGCTTTCCATCTACAATGAAAAAGTTAGTGATCTTCTTAAACAACTGGAACAAGAAAAGGAGCAAGTTAAAACACTTTCATTGAAAGTAACTTACATGACAGATGAAGCAATTAAAATTGGAAAAGAAATTTACCTCAAAGGGCAGGAGGTCTTAGATGTGAGAAGAGAATGCAATAAACAAATGAGGTTTGTGAAACACAGTGGGCACAAGACGTGTTTTTAACGTCTTTAAAATGTATTTATACGCGTTTTAGATCTCTTAAACATGTCATGTCCCCACCAGGTAAATAATATTTTTAATATTTTTTCTTAACTGTGTTTATTATACTCAACCCAAATGTTTTTCTATCTTGTTTAAAGAAGCTAATCAATTATTAAGTTGAAAATTTGTTTTAGAGAACAACTTGAAATCTTAACAATGAAACACGATGTTTACGTTGATGAAGTAAAAGCTAAATGTGCCTATGAATTGAATTTGATGGCTAATGAACATAGTGAGAAAATTTTAAAATTTCAAAAAGAAGTTGAAAGTTTGAAACTTGAGTATATTTTTAAAAATTCCTTTTTTATTTATTTTTTTTTTTTGATTTTTAATGAAAAATCGGCATAAAATGAAACCTAATCATTGCCCATTGATTTACACAAACAGTTAATTTTTTTTTAATAGTTAGCACTTATATTTTATATAGCATTTATATTTTATATCTCTGAGTATTTATTCTTTTTTTATGGTTTTCATTTATCCATTCAGAAGTCTGTTGCCGATAATTATTTATAGATATTCAATACTTTATCTTGTTTTTGTTGACAATATGCAATAAGTTTTAAAAGCATTACTTGCAATTATTTGGTAAATTAACTCCTAAAATATAATAAGTATTGTATAATATTGTATTTTATATATGTTTTAGCCTAAAGAATGCAAGTAATATGTTTCACAACAGACCATCTAGAAAAGAGGACATTGATTTGATTGATGAGTTAAAAAATTGCATTTTTGAGCAAGAATTGGAAATAAGAAAACTCACTAAAGATAGAGAACATTATCGGTTGGAGTTAATAAATAGAGAGCAAAATTTTAATAAATTGTTTAACTCTTCACCCCATGTCGGTGTTATAGATCCTATTGCAAAAGTAAGTGATGACAATGATTACAATGATAATGACAATGATAATGACGATGATGATGATGATCATGATGATCATGATGATCATGATGATCATGATGATGATGATGATGATCATGATGATGATGATCATGATCATGATGATCATGATGATCATGATCATGATGATGATGATGATGATGATGATGATGATGATGATGATGATGATGATGATGATGATGATGATGATGATGATAAAGCTGGCGATGATGATGATAAAGATGGCGATGATGATGATGATGATGATGATGATGATGATGATGATGATGATGATGATGATGGCGATAATGATGATGATGATGATAATGATGATGATGATGATGATGATGATGATGATGATGATGATGATGATGATGATGATGATGATGATGGCGATGACTAGTGATGATTGTTATGATGATGATTCAGTGAAAAGAGCTTTTGGCATAAAAAACTACTTATAAATTCATTTATATTTTTTTTGCTTTTCTTTGTTTTGCTGAGATTTTGCCATCTTGATTAAACAAAAAAAAATCGTACTTTATAACAGGAGACCGGGTCTCTATTTTGATTTCCTTGGGCTTGGCTTGTATTACTGTAACTTAAAGCATCGCAAACACATTGATTGACGGGTTTGGTTGAGGCAAAATATAGTAACAATAATTGGTTACACAAATTTTTTCACTAATTATTTTGGAGCTATACCTTGCCCTCTACCAATCTTTGCTGGTTAATGTATGCTTGTTCTGCTGCATTTCGCTGGTTAATGTATGCTTGTTCTGCGTCTTCTTATTGGTCAGTACATTGCATATCTATTAATGTATCTACTGAATTATCTTTATAAACTTACTATTATTTACTTAAATTTGTATTTAAGTAAATAATAGTAAATTTAAATTAGTTACTTTTATTAGGTTATAAATTAAAAAGTTTTAAGTTTTTGTTTTATTAACTATCAAGTTTTAAAAACAACTTTCACTTTTTGCAGATTTCGTCAAAAACAATTTTCAAGAATTAACGATACCCTGGTGATGCATAATTAATTTATTTTTTAATTTTGAAACTATGTGTTTACAAAAAATAAATTACTATTTTTACATAAATTATGTAGACGGTTTATATAAGCTTTTTAATGTTATAAAGCTTTTATAAATAAACATTTATTGTTTTTGTGGTTATTGTTACTATTAATGGTTTTGCTAAAATTTTAACTTTAAAAGTTTAGTAGGAGTAAGTGTTGTTACACAGCTTTGAATGTATTTCTGTGTTTAAACATTTAGGACGAAACTTAATAAAAGCTGTACACAAAATATAATAATTTTTTTTAGCGGCCATAATAAAAAATATATATTGAGTTATTTTTACGAATGGCTTTTACGCCATCTTCACCAAAGTTTTTGCAAAATTAAAACCGAACCGTCAACTAAGTTTTAGTAAAATAATTAAAATAAAGTTTACATTGAACTTTACGGCAAAAATTTTTTAGTGATTTTTAAAGAGATTTTGGCAATTTTCTAGGTTGGCAACCAAGTGCATGGCGTCTAGATTTTCAATAGTAATATTCTTATTCTGAAAGCCCCTATTTTGCGGCCGCGGCGCAGTGGTTACAGCGCTTGCTTTATAAGCAGGAGATCCAGGTTCGAAACGAGCTTTGGACACATTTTTGCGTCACGTTAAGAAAGAAGACGTGAACTTTCTAGTTAAATGCACTTCCGCGGTGTTCTGTGACAATGGGTTATTTAGGTGCCCCAAGAAGACCTTTAGGTCTTCTTGGGGCACCTAAATAACAAACACAAAAAAAAACCCATTATCCTTGCTGGTGGGAGGTACCGTTTTTTAGCTACTCGGTCTTGATCAAACTCTCTTTGTCATGCATATGGATCTAATATAAGATTACGTGACTACAGTTTTATTGCTCTCCCAAAAATAAATATACGGCGTTAATTAAAAAAAAAATTCAAACGCAAATTGTTTGCACGACTATTAAAATTAAAGTTAACATTTATATCTTGAGTTATCGTATTTTTTCTTGTAAGAAATGACAATTTTGATTTTCAAAAAGTCTTTAAATCAAAACTATCTTCAAAATCTCGAACTAAATATGGACTTAACACGTTAAGGGGCATTTGTGGAATTTTTTTGTAAATAAAGATAAATATGAGTTTATCTATGATGTTTCTAATTACTATTTGACTAATAATCAAAAAATTGACTGCCATTTTTAAAAAAGTATATATTTTATTAGGATTTGATTTTTTTAAAAAAAAACTATTTATATAAGACTTAAACATATTAGACATGTAGTTTAAATGTTAATGTGATACAAATTTTTATTTATTTGTTACTTGACTTTTCAAAAAAGAAATTTTAAGATTTTATAGTTTATAAAATATAATTTGTAAAATAATATTTATTACTGGGTATAAATAGTTTGAAAAAGTGTTTTCAAATATCTTAACTTGCAGCGTGTAATCGGGCACACATCAGTGTTTTTATGTTTAACCATAGTCATAAAAAATACATAGTCTTGAAGCACGGGTCGTTTCTATTGTTTTGCCGTTTTAACTTGAATTTTGAATTTCGGCCCGTTCACCCTGCACAAGTTTTTAAAATGAGCACTAAACTTCATGTAGAAACACAGCTTGATGATTTGTATATGGCTCTAACTGATGGAATTTTTAACAATAACATAGTAATTAAACAAGATCTAGATAATTTATTATCTGAAGTTTGTTTTAAATCAAATTTTTCGTGCGACCTGTGTTATAAAGTTTATAAAACGAAATATGGCCTGAAAAGACATAAAACTTCGAAACACGAACAAATCAACTTAATTAGCGAAGAAAAAGACTCCATACAATTTAGTTATCTTAATCCTGAGAAAATTGTTGAAGATGAAAATTATCAAATGATTTATGCTTGCCTGAAGAAATTCGAATCTAATTTTCAAGGCAGAATTTTTCTTTTAGTTCTAAAAATTCAATTTCTCTTTTCGAAAAATTTCAATGTTTTATTTCGAAATACAATGGTGATGCAGAAAAATTTTATTCTCAATTTTATGGACTTCTTTATGAAAATTTATTGCCATCAAAGTTTGACAATATTTTACTGACCAATACTTTGCTTACTGAAGTTGGAAATCACATACTTCGAGATCTTTCAGAAATTAAACATCATAATTCATCTAATAGCGAAGTTTCGTCATCTTATGTTTTTTCTGATATAGATTTAAGTATAATTCAATATTTGTCCGGCTATGTTGTTCAAAAACTTTACTCAAAGTTCAAATTTTATAAATGTGATGAGCAGTATAAAAAACAATGCATAGAAATATTATCAGCATGCAAAATGGTACCCAAAAATATGTTAATACTAAGAACAGAGGTGGTTTATTTAAAACTAACATCTATACTCAAAATATTTTTATCCAATGTGAAATAATTTTTTGTAAACAAAGCAAATCTTTTGTAACATCTATTAACAGCAAAGCTCTGGTTAATAAAATGCTTAAGGACTCAGTGATTATAAGTAACTTGAACAATATATGTTACAGTACTGAAGTGCAAATTGATAAAGAAATATCTTTCTTTCTTCTTGAAAATATGCTTGTTTTGTTCACAAGGGTAAGAAGCTTTTCCTATGCTAGAGATATTCGTGAGAAACATCAAATCAACAAGCGACAAGCACGCAAATCTTACTACATATATTTACTATTTTCTTACTACATATATTTAAAACAGATTTCATTAGTTCAATTTCCTCTTTGTATTGCTTGCATTAAAGTCTGCATTCCTGCAAACTCAGTTTAAGTCTACTAGGAGAAGTTATAGAGATTAGCGCATTTAATTTAGCAGGAGTCTTAAGAGTAGATCTTTTAGAGTGTATATTAGTGTGTATTTAAATCTGCAAGGCTGATTCTTTCAAAAGGCTAATAATTCACAAGAGTTGCTGCGATAAAATTCAATTTGATGCAGTTTTAGACTTTGATAAAGAATTTTTATAAACAAAATAATCAAAAGTTTTAGGAACAACATGCTTCTAAAAAATTAACACTTCAATAGGATCAGGAACTTTAATTCCATTGCAAAATTCTAAAGATTCTATTTCAAAAATAAACTGCGAAAAAATCACATTTAGAAATGACCTTTTATATTTCAAATATAAATTATGTGTTTAAGGTAACATCCATTCATACACACGAATAGTAAAATATAACGAATCTTCAACAAAAATGTTAAATTTTGGAATCACCTCATATAATAACTTAAATGAAGTATAACAAAAATTATCATAAAATTCAATCTTCCATAACTTATTTAATGAAGACAAATGCAGAAGACGTTTTTTAACGTCAGTAAAGTTTATATAACAATAGGGCTGTGTTAAAGAAGAACTTTCAAGAAGTAATTGAGAATTATCTCGCTTAGATATTGATGATGAGGATCGAATAACAGAACATAAAGGTGACGATTCTAAGCTCTTTTTTGGTAAATTTAACGATGGTAGTTCTCCATCTTTTAATTTTTTTTTTTTTTTTTGTTTCATAACACCAAATTTGCTCAGGAGAAAAGTGAAGCTCACATATCCACAAAATTTTATTTTCAAAATAGTTTATTTTCTTTCAAAGAATATCATCAACAACTCGATCTTTTGTTATAATGTTAATTAATTCTGAAGCCCATTTTATTTGTAAAATCGTCCGTTTCTTTAGCAACTTTAAAGAAAGCAACTCCAGTATATCTTCTTGAGGCAAAACATCCATAAATTGAACAGTTTTCACCCAGCATTTGCAATATATCTTGAGTTTTTACAAAAAAAAAAGTTTATTAGATAAACAATAGGATTTTTAAAAACTTTGTGCATGGTTGGAGATCTGGAGATAGCAAAAATCGCATGCAATAAGTTAAAACAATCGGTTATTGTTTGCTTCCAGACTATCTATTTCTTATGACTATGATTAAACCTTCTGTTTTAGCTTTGTTATGATCATTTGATTTGAAAGTTACTTGAACCTCTGAAACCATTACTTAAAAATTTGTCTAAAATTTTTTATTTAGGTGTCCCAAGAAATCCTTACGGTCGTATCACAGAGCACCGGGATGAGCATTTAATTGGAAGTTCACGCCTCCTAAACATAAATAAAAAATAAAAATATTAGTTAATTCAAAGCTAAGTTATTAAATTTAAATGAATTAAAAACAAATATCTGAGGATTAACAGGTGACGAATGGTGTAGCAATAGAGGTAGAAGATAATTTAAACGTTCACCACCACTTTACATATTTCTTAAGAAAGGTAAAACCGCCATCTCCATGTTCTGCTGAAACATTTGAACATTTTCTATAATGGAAAAGTTGAAAGAATTTGGATTAGATAGTGAATATATTGCAATTAAAACTACGGCTGTAGGTGGATGCTGAAATTGGGTACCATAATTAAGTTTCCCCATCAGATCTTCTAGAATTATTTAATTCATTTTAGTTTTTTTTAATTTGATATACGCTAAAAAAGATCGTGGGTTGCAAAAAAAACCGGCTGGATTAGGTCACCGAGAACCGCTTAAATGCTTTTTGATAAAATAGATTAGGATTTAAATTGAAAAAAGTTAAATAAAAATAAAATAATGATTAACATCAAAACTAATTACAAGTTAAACATGTTTAATAAATTCTCGTTGATAAATAAAAAAGTAAAATAAAGAAAGAAAATAATAAAGTTTTCAAAAATTTTTAAAAACATATTAGTATACTTTCACTTCAGGCCCGTAGCAGCAGGGACATTTGCCCTCCCAATAATTTTTCAAATAAATAAATTTAAAGAAATTGACTGAAAAAAAAAAACAAAAAAAGTTTTTAAAACTATTTTGGGGTAGTACTGCCCCCCAATATAATTCTTGTTCCTACATTTTAATTTTTCAGTAAAATTATGTTTTTTAATATTACGTTTAAAAGAATCAAAATTACATTCTTGAGAAAAATCATTAGTAGTATACAAAACTATATTATACCATAAAAATGGTCTGCGGAACGAAATAAAATTTTTTTGTCGAAAATAGTTATTGAATTAAGTTATCATTTCTTAAAATAAATTTATTTCTTTGTAAATACAAGTTACAAAAAGAAACAGGTGGTAAGTGGGTTT